TTCAAGAAGCCGTACATTTTCTCACCTTGGGGATATTTATAAGCACCTGATGACACGTCCCCATTCTAGGACTAATCGTGTCACGTGTCCCATATAAGCCTTCCCACTTTCCCCACGTTCTAACGTGGTGACTCCCACCCGTCAAACGGTTGGCTATGCCCATATTCGCTGTTTGGTGGTTTTTGTCCAATTCATTGCTATTTGTATGGTTAAGTATAGCATTAGGCACATAACAGTAGGCGGGCCCTATGTGAACGTAGAGGACCTCATGGGCGTTGACGACCTCACGGGGGTAGACGGCCTATGTGAAAGTAGAGGGCCTCATTGAGGTCGAAGAACTCATAGTGGTAGACGGCCTATTATGTGGTGCTCTACGGGGGATACATATTAAGCAGCCGGCCATCGTGAATAATTATTAACACTATTTTATATTAATTACAATCTACTAAAAATTTAATTTTAACCCCCCAACAAACACCATCTTCATAACATGGTGGCAATTTGAACACTTATTCAAATCAATGATCAAATTTCTTATATATTGTGGAATGTCAAACGAGATATTCAAAATGAATGTCGAAGTAGGATTTCCCGTAAAAATTAGAACAATTCCCTTATTGCTCACAGTCAGCACTTGTATGGTACATTTTATGAATTTGTTTTGGGGGAAATCAATAGAAAAAATGACAAGTGTTCTACCTGTAAAAATTCTTTCACATCTCCTATACATATAGCATCACTCTAAAAAATAAGGGTAATTAACCTATAACATTCATACATTTCACTATTACTGTGAAAAATGTTCTTACCTTTTATTTTATTTTTTGTCATTTCCACCCTTATTTTCACATTTCATTATGCAAAATGTCATTTTCATCTATTTTCTCAATTAAAAGTCATGAAATGACGAATATACCATCCTATTTAAATAAAAGAAAAAGGAAAAATAAAGAATTAATTGTAATTATAGTCCTGTATCTTTTTAAAAAGTACAAATGAGTTCCAAATAAATTATTGAAATGGTAAGTAGCACATAATGTCCCTACATTTCACAATTATTGTGAAAAACGTTCTTATCTTTCATTTTTCGATATTTTCACCATTAATTACATCGTTGATTGCTCAAGTCATTGTTTCTATCAATTTTCATCAAATTTCTAAATTTTAAAAAAATGTGAAATGACGAATATACCCTCTATTTAAATAAAAAAAAAAGAACTGATTCAATTATAGTTTCAAATTTTTTTTAAAAAAAGTACAAACGAGTGCCAACTAGATTATTAAAAATTAGAAATTAAATTTCTTTTAAAAAAGTGCAAACTAGTCTCAAATAATTATTAAAAAAAATTTAGTTTTCTTTTTTTATTTAGATAGGAGTGTATATTCGTTATTTCACATTTTTTATTGAAAAATAGGACAAAAATGAATAGAAATGATGGTTTGGGCAATTAAATGTATAATTAAGAATGAAAATGTCAAAAAAAAATGTAGGGACTTTTTCACAATAATGGTGAAAGGTGTGGACATTATATGTTAATTACCCTTTCAATAATTTATTTGAAGCTCGTTTTCACTTTTTTAAAAATTTTGGGACTATGATTGCAATAAGTTCTTATTTTTTTATTTAAATAGATTGATATATTCGTCATTTCACAACTTTTTAATAGAGAAAATGAAAATGGTCTTTTATGCGATAAAAATTGAAAATAAGAATGAAAATATCAAAAAAAAAAAAATGAAAAGTAATGACATTTTCCTCAATAATGATGATCCGAATATACACTTACAAAAGCCCACATTTATAAGAGTCCGTTTGATACCCTTAGTTTTCCAAGGAAAATGAAAAACATTTTCCATTTTCCCACTTTAATGGTGTTTGATGAACCAAATTTTACATAGAATAATTTTTCCCATTTCTCTCTCACGTGCCGACTTTTCCTCATTTTCATGGAATTCATTTTCTTTTGATTTTG